TGCCTGTTCTCCGCTGACCTCCACCACACTCTCACTCCCATCCTCCTTCTTCGCCGTCGCGGCAGCAGCAGACGCCTTCCTCTTCTTCCCACTCCCCTCCGCATCCTTCTCCTCCTTCGCCACCGGCACCACCTCCTGTACCCTCCCCACAATCTCACTCAAAAAATCAAACTGTTCATCCCCCTCGACAACCCTCTTCAAACAACCCGCCGTAACCCTCTTTCCACCTTTCTCCCTCGCCACCCTCGCAGCTCCTTGCACCAAACTAATCATGAAAAGTTCCAAGGCCTTGCTCACTGCAACCGGTGTTACTTGTGCTACTTTCCCTACTTCTTCATCGGCTTGCATGATGCGTTTTATGCGGGCGACGGGGAATTTTGTGCGGATTTCGATATTATCTGGATTTGGATTTTTGGTCGTCGTAGGAGGAGCACTTGCGAGAGGTGGTTGAGGCGTTAGGGGGTAAGTTGACATGTTTGGATTGTATTGAGGGGATGGGTCGAATGTATTTTGGATATTGGGTTGAGATTTCACGCGTGGTTGTCGTGGTTGTCGCGTTGACATATCAAGTGGGTTTGGGGTATTATTTTGGTGAGAAAGAGGTGAGGTATTATTGTTGTATTGGTATACAGATGTAGGATTGTTGGATGTAAGATCAAAAGGTGATGGAATGCGATTGTTGTAAGGAATTTCGGAAGAACCCGTTGGAGAGGTGTTTTGATTTTGATATTGAGATTGGGATTGAAATTGAAATTGTGAGTTAGCGATAGCTGGAGATGAATTGTTATTATAGTCAAATTCTGATTTGATGGTCTGAGAGTGAGAGGGGTAATAAAATTGTGGGGCCGTTAGAGATGAATTTGTTCCTTGAATTCCGAAGGAATGTGTAGAAGGTAAAGCTGGAATTGGTGGCGTATATTGATGTGAATCGTATTGATCAAATTCATATATTGCATCTCCACCAGTAGGAAATATTTGGTGATTTCGTTGGCTTCGCTGGTAATTTAAATATTGATTTTGTGGTTGTATTGATTGAGAGGCTCTTGATGTAGATGTAGTTGTAGCACTAAAATCAGGAATTACCGGTGATCTGGGTGCGTATGATGAGGTTTGTTGATTTTTATACGTATCAGGTGCTAAGAAACCTGATAAATCGGGAGATTGAGGAGCATAAGTTGAATCCATCTCAATGCTTTTTCTTTCCTTTTATGAATTTCTGATCAATTTTTGACGTTAATATATTTTCGGTATAAGTAGCTTGGAATGTGTGGATTTTGAGGTTAGATTATCCGAATTATACAAGGCTAATGAATTTTGTGGATAAGACTTGACGAATTGAAAGAACTAAATGAAATCAATCAATCCACTCTTAGAAAGAAAAAAAAATCTTGGTGTCTTCTGTTCTGCTTTTGTATGAAGATTTGATTTGATTTTCTGCCGAATTTGATGATACCGTATGAATATTAGAGATTCAGATGTGTACCGTATTGAAAGAGATATGACTCGTTATTGGACTCAATCCGAGTACAGTACGAATACCTAGTAGCTTTTGTGGAATCTTTTCTCGAGGGTTTCTTTATGGAATTGCTACGTACCAACCTTAATATATACTCGAGACTTTCCCTTTCTTTTCCTTAAATCAAGAAGGCAAAAAGGATGATGAATTGTTTATTATTTCCTTTGTTCTTCTTTCCTACTATGGCTCAATGGATGATTCTTATCGTAGCTCCCCTTCATCCGTTTGTCGATAAGCTTCGTTTATCGTAAGGCGGTGAGGGTGAAATTTCACTAATAAAAATAGCTCAAAAGAGAAATTAAAAGATCTTGCTGAAGGAATTAATTAATTGGTCAATACTAGGTATGTGAAGGAAAATAAATGAATAATTCTTATAGAGTACTTGAGTAATGAAGTTCACAAATCTCAAAGATTCTATTGGTTGATACTTCTGATTGTTCTTAGAAGCGAGGTAACATTTTGTGATATGTATGGAGTATGCATGAAAATAAAAATTTTGGGCGGGGTTGAAGCTGCATTTATAATTTTATGTACAAAAAATAGTATAAGGGACAAGGAAGAAATGTCTGGGATTTCATTTGACTAATCATGAAATAGGAGTTGGTGTCATAGATAATTCAAACCCTTGCTAGAATTCCATATGGGAAAACCCGCTTGATTTATCGAGAAGAAGATTTCATCATGATTTCTACATCAAACAATATCTGAATGTCTACGAAGTCTAGAAGTTTATTCTTCTGATATCTATTGATGGAATGGATTCAAATGGCTTCATTTAAGATGATTGTCTATTTCCTGTTTCATCTCTCTGATGAACTTGCTTGATTCAAGAAAAGAAGCACCTGCTGTTACACAACAGGCAACCAAATCATGGTAAGCTCCGGGATCAAAATGCTTACAGAAACGCGTCGAGAACTGTTACTCAACATATATATGGCAAACATCATCATCATGAAAAGTCATCATGTTTCTCAAGACTTCCAATACCCCAGAGTTCCTTTCTGTCTGAGCTATTAAACAATAGGTATTTCGTTTCAAAATCTAGGACTCCAAAAATGACTCAGAACCTTCCAGCACGCCACTTTTTACTCATCCATAGGGTACGTACCTATAGGCGACAAACAACATCACAAACTTCAATCAATTATAGCCTTCTCCAACATCAAGATATTGAATGATGATAACAAAGAGCTTACCGGAGATCACAGCGAGATCATAACCCGGTTATGCAAAATAACTTGTGGTTTTGACTCGGATTAATAGTGATCAGATGAAGGAATAAACTTGATCTAATCTGACAATATCTTTAAGTTGGGATTTGATCATCTAGTATTGAACTATCTAGGTACCTAGATAGATGGTGATCACACGAAAGCGATGTTTGGTAGTTTGCCTCTAAACTTGGAAGTCCAAGTAGTTCCAACCTATCTAAAATGATGTGGTAATTCTGCCAAATTTATCAAATACCCATTTCTCGCTATTATTTATCTCTTTTCATCCCTCCCCCATTCAATTCCTCTCTATTCATATCTTTCATTTATACAAATATCCAACTCAAAACAATTCAAAATCATTACTTGAAACGCAGCCTCATGATATTTGCTTAATCTCATCCGATATTAATCCGTACTTTAATAATTTGTTGCAGATCGTATTTTTCGCCGAGCCTCTAAATATCACGGGATTGAAGTTTTAAAGAGTCGAGACCATTGAAGTTTTTATTTATAGATTTTTGGGTGATTCAAGGCTGAGAAGAGCCGCTCGAAGTTACCGAATATCATGTACTGTTATTTTTGGATGGACCACTCAGAGAGAATGTCTTATTTACAACCATTTGAGAGGACAGATGTTGTATTTTGCGAATATAGTGGTAGGTTAAGATTTCTATTGTCCGGCGAATATAGTAACACGATCTAGTCCAATTCCTTCTCATTGTGCCATGTATCTGAATTTTCAACATTATGCCTTGTGATAGCACCGGAAATGCATCGTTTTACTGCGTATCTAAATAATTATATTTACCAAGAGTGCCCCCTTCTCCTTTATATTTGCGACACATGCACAGCTTTCCTCATTCTTCATTCTGCCACGTGATACTGACATAAAATATGTAGATGATACTATTGAAGCTATTATGATAGTTCTGGTAATAGCTCTTTCATATCTTCGTAGAGAATGCTGTATATTCTCTAGCATTTTTTACCCTTAACCCTAAGATAACTCTCTGCGCACCATTCACCCATGAATTAGCTCCCTTTTCTTCCCTTCTTTGCATGTTCGATTGAATTGATCATATCCATCTAATTTTGTAGAATTGGGCCTAAGCGGACATGATAGTATGTGAATAATAGATAAAATGCCCTATGATTCAGTAAGGAAGGAGTTATGTCCGTAGACACGTGACTTATCACGGAGCAAATGTATATGTAGGTAACTTACACTCCTCGATTAAAGCCTGTATCAGATCATAACCATAGAACAAAAGTCCCATGTCCACAAATAAACATTTCAAAAGCTAGGAGCGGGACCTCAATCTTAACAGCGGGGTGGAATAACTATACCCCATCCAAAAACAATAAACAGTAAGCAGCACCAACCATTCAGTCCAGCCCAAAAATCCTCGCTTACACCCACCCATCCATCCATCATGTATGTACAGTAAGATCCTACATACCGTACCGTCCTGTATGTACTCTGCAACCTCGTACATACCCGTAACATTACATACATCGCATACACATACACACTGCCCCCATCCATCTGCCACGTATACCCAACACACACACCGCCACTAATCCCTATTTTCCCATTTTTTCATATTCTTTCTTTAGGAGAAACTTTTTAGGAATAATAGTGCGTTTTGTAACTTTTGTTTGCTTTTTATAGGTTTGGATGGGCTTGGATGGGGAGAATTTTTACCTCACACCGCTGTTTGGCTTCACACCCTCAAGTTTTTTAGATGTGCAACATTTTGGGGGTTTTTGGGGAGGTTTGGGGGTTTTGTGGAGTTAGTGGGTTTGGTGGTGGATATAGATGGAGTTTGTGGGTAGATGAGGTGTAGGAGGATGTGTGTGGTGGTAGGAGAGGGCGGGAGGAGAGGGCGGGAGGAGAGGAAGAGTGGGTGGAAATCGGTGGACGACGGAGAAAGTGGAGGTTAGGTAGGGAAAGGCGGGGGCGGGTGAGGAGTGAGTAAGTTGTATTAGATATCATGAATGTGATGATTGTAATATAAAATAACGTAACATAAAAAGTATGACGAGTAGTCCTTTAAGATCCCAGAAGTCGAAAAGATAACTTAGAATTAAAAGATTACACTAACTCCCATTCCGACACAATAAAGCGAATAACATCACCTCATATAAGATCTTACTAGAAAAGTATTTGTATATGAAGCCTACTCCCTCGAAAAGCCACATGCTATAATCTTAAATCTTACATCGCCAACAATAGGTATCTCATAGTTTTACCACAAAATCCATGCAGTAACACTCCAACACTCCAACAAACAATCAATCTTACTCTCTACCAAAAATCTCACATTCTCTTCTTATTTGTTGCACATCTAACATGTAGGAATATATCATAAGATGCATTGATGCGGCACATTGTGGCGCCGGGAAATGAAGTTGCACGTGTATGTGTGAAGCACTTTTCCGTAGCCACCAACCAATAATAATAATTATACTAGATATGTGATGTTAGTATTGAAGGTGGGAAGTTGTTGTATATTTAGGTAATAAGAGAGCAGAAATTTAGGTTTTGTTTTTTTGGGGTTCGGTTTGCTGGGTGATTGTCGTTTGTTTTTTTGGGTGATGGGAAGAGATGAATGGATGGATGAAGAGGGGTTTGTGGTTTTTCTGAGGATAGGTGGGTAAGCAGGTGTATTTTTGAGTGTCTGGCAATCTCTTCATGAAGAGGAACCTCCTGCATCTCTACTTTCATAGAAGTTCTAGATCCTTGAGTGAGAAATTACATTTCTTTCCTATGGCTGCAGATTGATTGATATACAGCTCACTCCTGCTTCCGGACCCAATAACCACTCCTCCATGTGATAAATATCATTTTCCAGCGATATGTTGCATATCTATCAATAATAAGTTTCTCGTACTACAAACCATTTAAATCTAATATATCCGCGGAGTTTTGTCCTTTCCAATAGGAATATGATGACCGGAGTATAATTGTCTCTGGTTCCTGATCGTTTGCGTGCTTGGGAAAAGCCAAGAGCTTGGGTTCTTGAGTAGCTATCCACGGGATCAAAAAAGGTGTATAGGATATGTTACACCCAACGCAACTATCCCCCAATAATTCTCCTTCCATGTGATCCAAACCCACCATTGTAAATATTTTGTTGCACATCTCAACTTGAGCTCCATTTGAGCAGTCAGATTATCCATCCACGTCTCTATTTCCTGTTTATACGTAAAAACTCTACGGATATCATTAATCAATCATCTTCATTTCATACTGTGATGAAGCTTTTCCGCATTTTGTTGCATATCTCAAGGACTGATATGCTACTATTACCCGCATGTGGATGATTGGTCGGTCTAGCCTTCGCACCATCGGCCAATGGTTCTTTATACACGTGATACGAAGCACGCATTGCATGATTTGTTGCATACCTGAAATACGAAGTTCTTCTTTAAGCTCACTTTATTTTGGCCAAGGTCTGGGAGGATGGATAGATTCGGGGAGTCACCACTTTTTTTCGATCACACCTTTCAAATCGTTTTCTTTTCGTTATAATAGGAGACAAACGGATTCAACACTTATTAATTGGCGGCATCAATTAATACTATAGTTCAAAAATCTCAGATATTCATTTTAGCCTAACACTTGTTATCTCATAAAGCATTACGATTATTGAGACTATAAAGATCTCATACAGCTGGACTTAGACTCTCCAAAAGCTCTACCGTCTACTCTTCTGCCATTTTGAGACAATAAGTTCTTCATCCTCCTGGATTCCATACTTTTCATTGCAGAATCTTTCGACCGCGCCATAACCTTTCATATTTCCCAAATCTACTTCCGCAAACCACCCAAGTCCTCTATCTCACCTATTCCTCAAAATACTCTCCGCAATACTCTGATCGTCTTGAGCAGGTCTTTCGCTCCAAAAGTAAGGCCAACAAGTAACTGATGATCAGTTGAGTTGACTCTAGGATTGGTGACGAAATGTGCAGCACAGTGTGAAGCATTTGTCATGAGGAATATCCGCTTAATCAATCTATTGCTGATGAGAGAAATAAAAGTTGAAGGCGCTTTCCCGTACCTAAATTTGTGCGAAGAGGTGAGTTTAAGCTTATCGCCTTTTCTGTTTATAAGAGACTCAGTCTGTTGGACGTAAAAACGAAATCCGATAATAAAAAATCAAACAAATTTCAATGGTTCGAATGTTAAGGGTGTGTAACAACAGATGGATGTAGATATTATAAAATAACAATACTCTTTTTATATTATATACGCCTGAGTTAAGTGCTCTTGGCTTCATTTTATTTTTATTTATTAAAAAAATTGTATGATTTATAAAAGTCTTAAAATTTAAAATACCAAAAGAATAATTTTAAAAAAAAAAATAAAATAAAAAAATAAATAAAAAATAAAAAATAAAAAAATTAAAAAAATTAAAAAAAATTAATTTTATTAATTTTTATAATTTTATACTATTATATTCTTTATATATAATAAAGTATTATATTAAATTTATATATAATTATTTAAATTTTAATAAAGTTTTAAATAAATAATAAATATTTATTTAAATAAATAATTAATATTTTTTAAATAAATAATTAATATTTTTTAGATAAATAATTAATATCTTTATTATACTTGAAAGATAAATATATATAATTATATTATTATAAATTCCCGACTTTAAATATTATTAAGTTTCTGGCTAAATATCGGGATTTCATTGATTATGTAATTATAAACTTTTATCTTATCTGTTCTGTATTTCCTTAGTACACAAGGCCTCGGCTTACATATTCACCTTTTCGAGGATTAAACTTCAAAAAAGCCTCATACCATACACATCACCGCTTTCTCCTCACTCACAACCAAAAAGTGCAACACATCACCCACCACGCAAAAATGGCGAATTCTCAAATCCCCAATCTCAATTTCGGTAGTCCGATAATCTTCTTCGATTCCAATCCCGAAATGCAACAAGGCTACCTAGGATCCTGTCTCACCAGTCTCAAAGAAACGTTAAAAACCTCCTGGACGGGCGAAGTTCGCAAATTTCACCACCCGGGAACCCTTCGCATCATATTCTGGACCCCAGATAACAAAGAATGTATAAAAGATTACGAATTGCATGAATATAAACTTGTGCGGGAAGCGTGGGAATCGTTATTTAATCTGCCTGATGTGAAACGTGCGATTGTTATGGGATATAGTGGACAGAATCCTTATATTAAGGATTTTGGGGAGAAGAATCCTTGGGAGGATAAGATTGAGAGGGAGAAGATGAGGCAGAGGAAGAGTGCTCAGAGGCAGGGTGAGAGTAAGGAGGGGAGGACGGGAAGGGAGATTGATATTAAAGAGGTTATTGATCGCACGGAGGAAGAGGAGGTTAAGAAGATTGCTGAAGCGAGTGGAAAGAGACCGATGAAGTTTGAGGAGGTTTGAGGGATTGATGATGTAGGACTTGTGTATGGCCATGTTGGATGAATGTTAATAAAGGATCTTTCGATTCATAATAGAGGTTACGAAAGGAGTTTTCGGAAGCTGCGGAGATATTGAAGGATCATTGGAAATATGGCGTACTTGGGATTTCATACAAGCATAGAGGAGGTTGAGGCTATGGCGATATATTTGGATAATTTTGTTTGGATATAAGGGATAGTCTCACAGAATAAAAACCTTGAGTTTTGGATATCGCGTTTCCTTCTGTGAAGAGCAATATGTAGATTATTTCTGCCAAGCATTGAATGAAGCCTCACTACTCAAAATGCTCAATCTTGTATGTGATCAAATTGACGGTCGAATTCCAAACATTCCCTCAAGGATAAAAGGGCAAGTGCCTAATGTCCATGGCGATGTACTCCGAACATCGATCCAGGCTTCACAGAATAGCATGTAATATGCCCGCCGCGTTGCTACGAAATCACAACCCTGAATGATATTCATGGATCCAGTGGTCATTCCACAAGAAACCTCCACAGCTTTTCCGATGGATGAAAGCTACCATGAGGTGCAGGTTATGAATCCGAGTGCAATGTTTCCACAACAATACATCCATACCTTTTACTAGTGTCTCTATCTTATACTCAAATCCTTCACTAAGAATTCAAAGCTACTGGTTTATCGAGCATCTTTTTAGAGTTATTCCTTTCATCAAAAATAGTCACATCCACCTATCAGTCTTCTTTCCAATCTGCATTTCGGCTACTTGTCAATGAGGGGTCAATCATATACATATATCCAATGTCTTACCAGCAAGCCATATTCATCTAATCGTACAAATCAGGATAACTCCAAGATGTAGACATGACGGTATATAATAAATCGTATCAAAGATCCTACAATTTTCTGCGTGTAATAATGCGCCATCATACAATACCATATATTACTAAGATTTACACAATCAATATGGAGGTACGTATCATCATTTCTTGATCATGAGTGAAAATACCAATTAATTAATTCTCCATCTACGGGTAAATTCCTCCTTCCCTATGCGACTTAGATTTATCATGTATACTAGGTAGATTCTGCTAATAACACACTGGTAGACGGAATATAGTAGAAAGCTGTGGATTCGAATGCGTCTTCCTTGAAGCTTGCGGAGATCTGAAGGGTTGTGCTGTGTATGTGTATAGATGTGGAGTTACCACACTACTACTGTTAAGGGGGGTTGAGGATTAGGGGTTTGAGATGTGAATGCTTTTGTATTTTTATCAATAAGCTTTAACAAGGTTATCTATCACACATTACTTATTCGCTATATGAATCCAGCTATACAAAGAACTTCAATAGCCATCAACTGCTACTTTATCTTCATTACCCTGGATAGAATATATATCTCGAAATTAGAATCTATATCCATACCATATATCACAACCACCTCCAAGATCCCTCAATTCAAACTGGCATAGAAATATCAAAGTACTTTCATTATCATTACTATCATCATCATCCTATCTCTTCAATTTCATTATCAATCTAGAATAATCTTAATACAATTACTAAAACTTTATTCAAAAGTCTATATAAAACCTAATCTATCAAGTATTTAATCCAAATTTTAAAATATTAAATATTATAAATAAAGGAAAGATAAGAATGTTATACCTTGAGTCCTTGATCAGGTCTTTTCGATTTTGTAATGTATTATGATCTAATATAAGATAAGTAAAAGAGTAGGTATTATAAGTTTTGATTTATAGATTCTAGATTCTAGATTATAAGCAGATTAGAGTGATAAATAAAGTAGAATAAATGATTAAGATACATGGGATGGATATACTTGAGGATGTATATAAATATAAATATAATACTAAGATTCTATATATACTATATAAAGATATATATCATAAAGATAATTACATAATTAATAACCATCTCGTTCTCATAATACGACTTGAGACATAAAGCTCACATGAGATATAATAAAAGATCAAACGAGAATCGAGATGAACAGACTGGAATAATCGAGTTTAGTTTCATTTCATTGAGGGTATTGAGATATCTAAGATATTTAATGGATATATTTATTCATCTTGATACGTACATCCCCACAAACGAGGTAATGACAACTCCCCACCACAGACATCCACCCATCAATCCATCACACCAAACTACCTCTCCCTACACCCTTTTCATCCTCGGCGCCCAAGGAACCCCCCCACTCCTCGGACCACCGGGTAAACCCCCCTTAACCGAAGGTCTAGGACCCAATGGTCTAGAAGGCTGCATAAATTGTGTTTCCATTCCCATACCCATCCTCTCCCTCTCTCCCATGCCCATCCCCTGCACCCCCGCTTTCTGCGCCGCCATCCCCGCAAACGCCATTCTAATCTTCTCCTCCGCTTTCGCCATCTGTTCTTGCACAGTCAACGGTCTCTCATCCTCAAAACCATCCTCATCCTCATCTCTCATTAAGAAATCCTCCGCTTGTTGTTGACGCTGGAATCTAATAGCCTCTTCTCTTTCTTTATCCATTTCCTCCTGTTGACGCTGTTGTTGCATTCTCATAACTTCTCTCTCTTGACGCTCCATCCTATCAATTCTTTCCATTTCTCGCTGTGCTTCAAATCGTTGCTGTTGGGAAATTTGTTCCTGTTCTTCTCTTCTCCTTAGCATTTCCATTTCCCGTTCATCTCTTTGACGTTGTCTTTCTACACGTTCTTCATAGGCTCTTCTTTCTTCCTCCTCTTCTTCCATTTGTAATCTTTCCTGTTCATCTCTTTCAGCTCTTAATCTTTCTTCTTCTCGCATTTGAGCTTCCATTCTTTCCATTCTTTCTCGAGCTTCCCTTTCTCTCTTTTCATCACGTTGTCGAGCTTGTTCGGCGTAAATTCTTTCTTCTTCCTGGCGTTGTTGTTCTTCGAACTCTTCTTCGCGTAATTGTTCTTCGTATGCTAATCTTTCTTCTTCTTCTAGTCGCTCCTCTTCTGCTAATCTTTCTTCCTCTTCATATCGCCTTGCTGCTTCTTCAGCTGCTAAACGTTCCTCTTCCTCCAATCTCTCCAATTCTGCTTGCCTCTCAATCGCTGCAAGTCTCTCTTCTTCTTCATATCTCTTAGCTGCGGCTTGTCTTTCCATTTCCTCTAATCTTTGCTCTTCTTTCAACTTCCTAGCTGCCTCTTGAGCTGCCATTTGTTGTTCTCTCTCAAATGCTTTGATTTGTGCCGTCAATCTCTCAGCTTCTTCTAATGCTTCTCGCTCTTCTGCCTCTCTTTTCTCCCTCTTAATTCTTACCTGCCTATTAGCTTCCTCTCTTTCCGACCTTAATCTTTCCTCTTCAGCTTCTCTTTCCAACCCTAACCTTTCCTCCGCAGCCTTTTTCTCCTCCCTTGCCCTCTCCTCTTCAGCCTCCATTTCCATCCTTACCCTCTCCTCTTCAGCCTCCATCTCAAATCTTATCCTCTCCTGCTCCTCATAAAAAGCCTTCATCTCATCGGCCTCCCTAGCAATCCTCTCATCCTCTTCCTGCATCTTCCTAAAACTCTCCTCCATACTCATTCTCTTCTCTTCCATCTCTTCTTTCTCAAGCAACATCTGCTCAGCTTGCCTTTCATATTGAAGTAACTTTCGTTCAGCTTCAGCTTCAATAGCTTGTTCGGCAACTTGTGCAAAACGAGGTGATGTGGCCAGTTTTACCATATCTTTAAAGGAGCGTTTGGGACGAAGACGAAATTGTGTTGGGATAGGACTTAATTGTCCATTTATTATTGGTGAACGGGGGATTGTTGTAACCGTTTGAGTGACTGCCTGGGTCTTTGATGGAAGCAAAGTAAGCTGATCTATTATGGTGGGAGGAATTGGATCTGTTGTCGCTATGGGTGCTGGAAGATTCGAGGTTGTTTTGATAATTTCCGAGACTACTATTGGAAATCTTGACATCGCTCTTGGGATCTTTTTTGTCGATTTCGGAGTCTGCGATATCTCTTTTGAGATTTCAGGTGTTGCTTCAGGCGTTGCTTCGGACGCTTCTCCAGGAGTTTCGACAGGCAGATCAAGAACTTTCGGGATAGCCTCAGATATTTCAGTCGTTATAGATATCCCAGATTTTCTAACATCGACTTTGCGGATCTCCTTCGGTTTTGATGCAGTTGTAGTTTCTGCCTTAGTATCCATAGAGTACAATCCAGCCATAATATCATCTAGTGCTGAAATTGAAGCCTTCTGTTTTCGCTGATTCCTTGGTTTTCCCATTGAGGTCTTTTCCATTCCCTTCTCATTGTCAAGAGGCTTTGAAGTGACAGGAATGTTAGCAAAATCCTCACCGAATCCAGCCATAAGATCATCTAATGCAGATATTGAGGCTTTGGTACTACTTCGTGTGGAAGCTCGTTTTGTTGAGGACTTTATTCCTCTGAATGACAAGCGTGCTGAAGTAGGTGTATCTGGAATGATTGACTTTGATTTTTCGGATACTGATCGTCGGGGGTACTCTGTGCTGATTGATTCGGCTGGTTTTGAGAGTTTTGCTGACTCAGGGGGTTCAGATTGTACAGTCAGATCAGCGTCCAATGATTGAAGCGGTTGTGCTGACGAAATAACTTGGAGCTGCTCCAAAGGTTGCTTCGTTTGCACAAATTCAGGTAGCTCGGATTGTACACTCAGATCAGGGTCCAATAATTGAGGTGGTTGTGCTGGTGAAATAGCTTGAAGTGGCTCCAGAGGTTGCTCTTTTCGTACAGGCTCAGGTTGCTCAGATTGTACCGTCTGAAGTGGGTCTAATAACTGAGGTGGTTGCGCTGGCGAAGTAACTTCTATTTGCTCCGGAGACTGTTTTATTTGTACAGGCTCAGGTGATGGGGTTCGTCGAGTATTTTTCAATGAAGAAGTTCTCGACCCGATCGCAGCAGCTTTCCTCTCCGCCATCAACTTCTCAATTTTGCTCATCTCGGGTGCCACTTGAGCCTTTATTTCCTTCACTTCAACGACAGATATCCCCGCCTCTCCTTTATCCTCCACAATTTTTTCTTCAACCTTCTCTTCCTTCGCCGTACCGTAACCAAACATTTTTGCCATCCTTGCACCCCTACTGTTCGATCTTAATGTTGGCATTCTCGTCACTGAAGCTGTACCCATCCCCAAATTCCCTACACTCCCCAATTTCTCATCGAAACGTTTTTCCACATCCTTGCCTGGGTTTGGTATTGGCTTATCCTCCTCGAGGATTAAGGGCTCAGTAGTTTTTACATCGGTGTTGGCATTCAATGGTACGATGGGAGAAATTGTTGGTTCATTCTCTTTGTCTGTGGCCGTGGTTCCAGGATTCTTTTTGACATAGGAGGAAAAGTAAGCCCCCCAAGTTGCCATGATACTATCGGTGTTTTTCCCGAATCAATATGATTTTGCTGAACCTATTAACTTTTGGATTCTTTGGCAATACTTTTCAAGCTTTCAATTAACTTGCTGATCCGTTTTTGTTGTAAAAATTATCGTATCGTATTGTATCGCACCGTATTGTACAGTACCGTATTGCATTATTCATTAATCGTTATAGCATCAAGCCGTTTGTAAGTCGATAAATTAAACCTTTCAAAAGTATCCAAGGTTTCCAGCACCTTAGAAAGTCAATTGAAGTTTCCTGGACGCAATCACCGTAAACCCAAAAGCAAAACAATTTTGACAAGTACAAACTAAAGGAAAAGAAAAGTTTCCAGATGACATGATGGTGGTGTGCATGAGTTAAATGGAAGGATCAATCAATCCTCTTCTAGTGGCATCAATAAAACCTGTCACGATGATGATACATGTAAGGTTTGAAAGTTTGAGGATGAAGATGTGGAGAAAGACTATGCGACGTCAAGATGAATAACATGGGATAGCAATGACTTGTGTAAATCCCGGACATCAATTATTATTGATGATAAACAATTTCTTCTCTTGCTTGAGAATTTGAGGTTCGCCGATGACTCTTGTGAAGCTAAATTGATATATTTTTGATATAACCATAAAGTCATGATCATTGAACATACATCCAAATGTTTTTCCATGACATTTCGCAGAGCAGAAGAAGCTTGCGGGATGGCTATCAAGGGTTTGCCAAGACTTTACGTTCAAACAATCATTGTCAGTGCGATCATCAGGTGGATCGATGATTGACAAACACTTTCCCGAACAAAAAAGGCTACCCAATTGCAAGTATTATTTTCCACTTTACGAAACTTCGTCTCAGGAATTTGTTAAAACTCGGCTAGTACATACTCTCCATCAGCGATTATTTATTGGTCTCGGCCTAAATCCTATGTGCATCCATAAATCTTTACCGGGACCTGAAGACGCGACGATGTTGATTGAATCAATGGATTTGAACAACTGGAACAAGCCAAACCATCGGAGCAGCAAGAAGAGACGAGTCTACCACATCTTTTGGGGTATGTCGGGAATGGAAGTAACATCAGTCAGGAGGGACCAAAGCTCAACAATCCAAGACTTGAAATTGTCATCAAGTAGGTGATGATTCCTCGACATTTGTTGCTGCTATGTTCGGAATGCCCTCATCTTTACGATGTATTGAAGGAATACATACACATTCCGACATGAAAGAAAGTCCGATACTCTTTCACGAACCAAAAGTCAGGAGCCAGAAGCAGATAAATCAGCCATGGAAGTTTTCCATCTGTGGTAATGTCGGAGTATGTTGAAGCAATTGATTGAACTTGCCAATCGCAAGCAACTCTCTACGATCGATAAGCTGTTGCGAAGAACAAAGATTACGTAATAAACCTAGCTCCGCCTTTTCACATTGTGGTTCAAATCATATTCCATGCACCATTATGTCTGAGCCTTGAAACGACAATGAATTCTTCTATTATCTTGTCGAGCACCGTCCATAGTAAGAGTTATATCACTTAGTCATTTCTTACATGGGTGAATTACTTTAAGTCATCATCATTGAGGAAGTCCCTCCTTCACTGTCTTGAATCCTTTTCGGTTCCTCGTAGTCTTCCAGAGGAACTTCATCAACAGATCTACAGAAAACTTTCATGTATACCTAGTGAAATATTCACCAAAAAGTTTCAAAGATAACGACTATACTTGTCTGCTGTAAGATTTCCACGGTGAGTTTCTTGAGCATTTTTACTCTCACTGATCCTTATAAGATCTAAGAGAGTAAAGAATTATTCACATCTCTTATAAGAATCTTTTCTATAGAATCTAGGAATCTTGTTAAAGTGAATGGTTTCTGCGTAGCACGTGCAAAAGTCACTAGTCCTATTAGGACTAGATTGAGAAGCTCTCTGTAGAAGAGCTTCGCACTTCTGTAGAATAGAGACAATGTGTCACACTCAAGAATACTGGGTAAAGTATCTTGTATTAGAAAATACTAAGCTAAGGAGAAAAGAAGAAGGAAAACAAGAGTAGAGAGTTTTCCTATGATTAAATACAAACGGGGCATGCCACGTGACCCGGAGGTGTGAGGCATCACAATTCTTTTGTTTTTAAATTATATTTTACTTGAAATTAAAAAATTAAAATCAAAAAAATAATTTCAAAATATTATTTAGAGTTTTATATTTCATATTCAATTGAAAATATTTTGTTAAAAGGAATGATCTTATATAGGGAATAGTGGGAAGCTGATAGGGCAGAACTGAGGTAATATTGATCTAGTAGATTAATCTCTCTTTTAAGTTCTATAGAAGTGCGAAGCTCTCTTATAGAGAGCTTCTCAATCTAGTCCTAATAGGACTAGTGCCCTGTGCACGTGCTACGCAGGAACCATTCACTTTAACATATTTTATTGTTTTATTATTTAACTTTTTAATAATACTCTGAAAAAAGATCTTTAAATTTTTATTAATTTAATAATTATTTGTATAAAAGTCACTATATAAAAATAAATTACATGCAAACAACAATTAAAAAGAATCAAAAAATTTTACTACCTCTTTAACTTTATCAAAAAACACCTAGAATATAAATGAAAACTCTTCAAACTAGTGTAAAAAATCTTTCAATATCGGCCCGCTTTCGGCTAGCTAGCCGACATTTCATACCCGCAACAACAGGGTCATTAATTGCAAGTAATACTTCATTTACACCAAGTTCTCCATCAAATTAACACGGAAACATCTTTGATGGTCTAATGGTCATGATTTCCGCTTGTCATCCATCTGGCTTTGCGCGGGAGATCGGGGTTCGATTCCCCGTCAGAGAGTTCATGCAGTTAATCTTTTTGGAGGGCGGGGATTCAATGATTATGTTAAAGTGAATGGTTCCTGCGTAGCACGTGCACAGGGCACTAGTCCTATTAGGACTAGATTGAGAAGCTCTCTATAAGAGAGCTTCGCACTTCTATAGAACTTAAAAGAGAGATTAATCTACTAGATCAATATTACCTCAGTTCTGCCCTATCAGCTTCCCACTATTCCCTGTATGAGATCATTCCTTTTAACAAAATATTTTCAATTGAATATGAAATATAAAACTCTAAATAATATTTTGAAATTATTTTTTTGATTTTAATTTTTTAATTTCAAGTAAAATATAATTTAAAAACAAAAGAATTGTGATGCCTTACACCTCCGGGTCATGTGGCATGTCCCGTTTGTATTTAATCATAGGAAAACTCTCTACTCTTGTTTTCCTTCTTCTTTTCTCCTTAGCTTAGTATTTTCTAATACAAGATACTTTACCCAGTATTCTTGAGTGTGACATATCCATCTTCAGATCACTTTTTTTATATTAAAAATATAATTTCTATTTATAAATTTTTTTTAAATTTGAAAATCCCAAAACTGTTTATGTTTTTATCAATAATAAATTTAAAATTCAAATTCTATTAAATTATATTTTGTTAAAAGGAATGACCTCATACAGGGAATAGTGGGAAGCTGATAGGGCAGAACTGAGGTAATATTGGTCTAGTAGGTTAATCTCTCTACTAAGTTCTACGGAAGTGCGAAGCTCTCTGTAAGATGTTACGAGGTTTGCCGTCTAGATCACGTGGAAGTACTCTAGGCTCTCGAGGTGGTTTATAACTAAGCGTCAAGCAGAGACTTAAAGTAATGACAATAATACAATTCATAACTAATAATAGAGTATACTAAATGATTGATCTTGAGCACAAAGCTCTATACAAAGGAAATCCATCTAGATTATATAGACCTTCGTGCCGATGGCTACTCAGTAGGATCAATGCAGCTCAGTACTGAGCTCACTGATCCTCACTGAGCCAATCATGTGATATTGATTACACGTGAGAGTTTCCTGTTACTCGGCGTAACAATACTATAACATAAATATAAACATAAAACCCTCCACCACCAAATCCACTATCTCATAATCTTAATCTTAACCTTACAATGAAAGGAACTGGACTGAATGAATAAATGCTTGGTAAGGTATAATATAATATAATATAATATAATATAATATAATATAATATAATATAATATAATATAATATAATATAATATAATATAATATAATATAATATAATATATATTAAAAGATTGGGTGGAAGAGGCCTCTATATTGACTATATTACTACGTCTGTAGGCATATTAAGGTCTCCTCTTGGTATCCTCGGAGGGGACCAATATGCCTGCTTATGGTTCATCTAATCTAGCCTGTTTAGGTAACCGTATTACTAATCACGACACGTGATTAGTACCGGTAACTTCTATTCCTTTTAACACTCCCCCATAGGAGTTACCACCTTCAATCTCCCCAATCCTCCGCATCTCTATTGTCTCAATCCTAGCATCTCTTTGAACCTTTCGAATGCTACTCTTGCTAGGGGTTTGGTCATCCCGTCTGCTACCATATCTGACGTATTGATATAGCTAGTCACTACCTTTTCTTTTTCAGTAAGATCCCTGATAAAGTGGTAGCATATATCAATATGCTTTGATCGCTCATGCAGGTGCGGGTTCTTGGTTAGAGCTATTGCTCCTTGATTGTCGCCTAGTATCTGAACAGTGTCTCCGTGTGTAGATACGTATTCCGCCTTTCCAAGGTCTTTGAGCATTTGAGCTAACCATCTCCCTTGCTTGGTGAACATCGCCATTGATATGTATTCGGACTCAGCACTTGACGTTGCTACTGAATTCTGCTTCTTGCTAGCCCACGATATCGGTCCTCCATAAAACATAGCAACTCCCCCAGAAATACTTTTCCGATCATATCGATCACTTGCCCAATCTGCGTCAGTGAAGACTTTTATAGTATCTGCTGATAGGTTGTATTCCTTTGCGATTTGGTACTGTACTCCCTCAGGTCCATATTTGAGTTTCTGAGTGATCGTAGCTCTCAGGTATCGCATTAGGTTCTTTACTCCTATCCCATGGCATTTTGCTGGCTTTGCCATGTACTGTGATAGCCGGCCTAGTACGAAGGAGATGTCTGGTCTTGTGTATACCATTGGGTGAATAAGACTACCTATGGCTTGTTGATATTCAGTAACATCAATCAGTTCGTCATCTTCAGTAGCGGGTCGTAAACATGAGTAGTCGGCAGCGGGTATCTTCTTAGCATGGTGCTGAGCGTGCGAGATTCCGAATTTGGTTAGCATAGCTTCCAGATACTCTTCTTGGTCCAATGTGAGTGATCTGTTTGCTCGATCTCTTATAACTCTAATGCCTAGAATCTTACTAATCTCCCCCAGGTTCTTGGCATTGAAGCGCGAGGAGAGTATTACAGAGAACCAATCGAGTTGATTCTTTGAAGTCGAGGAGGCAATTATATCATCAACATATACTAGCAAATTGAGTTGGCGAGCGGCGAATGTATAGAGACATGGGTCAGCGAGACTCTGAGTGAAGCCCCAATTGATCAATTCGGACTTTAGAAGTTGACTCCAATCTCGTCCCGCTTGCTTAAGGCCATATAAACTTCTCAATGCGCGTAAAACGTACCCATTTGATACATTGACTCCTTGAGGTGGCGCGAGGTATATTTCTTCCTTGAGATGAGATTCTGTAAAAGCGTTCTTTATATCGAAGTGCCAGCATTCCAAGTTCTCTTTCGCAACGATCGCTAAGAACAAACGGAGTGTATCGAGTCGTACTGTAGGAGCGAAGGTCTCATTGTAGTCTTTTCCGAGAACTTGACTAAACCCTCTTGCTACCAGCCGTGCTTTGAATCTCTCGACCTTGTTGTCCTTCGTCTTTATTGTGAATACCCATTTTGTTGAAACAAGATTCCCTCCTTTCGGCAGAATATACTCTTCCCAGGTACCATTTGCAATCAATGAGCTGATTTCCTCTTCGATAGCTCGCTTCCATTTTTCACCATATTCAGGGTCCGAGACTGCCTGATTATATGTGTTAGGAATAGGGATTCCTAGAATCTGTTCTGCGGGGAAAGCTGTATCCTCGTCTGTAGAGCTCCCTAAGATCACTTGAAGGTTTTCGGATAGTTTTGTTTTAACGCTCGGGTCGATCCTAGATGTAAGGGGTATGGAGATCATAGCATGTTCGATAGCACTTCCATCAGGGTCTGCTGAGAGTATCGCTATCATTGCTCTTATCAGTTTCTGGACATGCTCATCTGGCTCACTATCGTCTCGCTTGCGTTTCCGAAAAGAGTATCTTTCAGGGGTGTCTATATCCATAGGTGTAGTTGAGGTTTCGGTTGAGGATTGATTGGTTACAGGTGCAGTATCTAGTATGTCTATCTCTTTTGTTCCTGGAGATAGTATTGGGTCCGTGGATGGATCGATTTCGATGATATTCCCTTCACTGTCTTCGTTGAATTGCTGGATATTGTCTACTTTAGATGCGCTGGGAATTACTACTTTCGGGGGTTCAGGGGTAGCAGTATCTTGTAAGGATTCGAGTGGGGATTCTTGTACTTCTTGTACCTTGTGAGGTCTACCTCTGGGTCTCCTATCAGGGATGATATTTTTTGTACCTTGGGGTCCTGATACAGAGTTTCTTATTCTTAGGTCTAAGTCTCCGCCCTTTTTGGATTCGTCTATAGTCACTCGGCTTGCTCGTACAGTGTAGCCTAGCTCTGGCGAGTACACCTTAACATGCTTATTGGTCGTGTGCGAGTATCCCATAAAGATGCCTACTCGAGCTGTATCTCGTAATTTGTCGTGCCGTTGGTCCTTCGGGATTGTCTTTGGATTGATATATGCATAACACTTGCTCCCCCAGACTCTACAATGGGTGATGTCGGGGGTTGATCCAGTAAACGCTTCGATTGGGCTTACAACGCTGTCGTCAATGATCGGTCCAGTGTTCGTTCTATTCCTGCAGTGTGCATCATATTCAACAGCTTCGTCCCAGAATTCCAATGGCAATCCAGCTTCCTTTAGCATAGCTCTCATATCGGCTTCGGCAGTGCCGATGTTTCTTTCAGCAGTTCCATTTTGATGAGATGATGCTACGGTAGTCAGTTCTGATCGGGTCCCAGAGTTCCACTCCTTAACGGCTTGGATTAGCTCTGGTGCATTATCAGTTCGAGCGGCTACTATCTCATCACCAATGCCAAGTTCTAATTCGGTTTTCCATTTCTTCAATCTCGGTATAGCTTCATCTTTTGTCTTCAAGGTCAAAATCCAATTCACTCTTGTCCAGCTGTCTATGATCAATAGGAAATAGCGGTTTCCTCGTAAAGACCTTGGGAATGGGCCAGCGATATCAAAATGAATAAGCTCTAATCTTTTCGTCTTGTGAGGACTGAGTTGTTTTGGGATTAGATTCTTCATCTTGGTGAGCGCACACACTTCGCATACAGGGATTTTGGATGGGACTTTGATCGGCTTTCCCAGTGTAGTAACTTTATGGAGATTCCGTATTTTCTCTGGGCCAAGATGGTTAAATCGTCTGTGCCATAGTAGATAAGTTTCTAGATCCTTTTTGTTCTTGTCTAAGGAGGTGTCTAGAGTGATCTCGTTCGATTCAATATCACTAATAATCTCTGTGCTCTGTAGAGCGACATCTTCATATCCTTTTCGCGATATCCGAGATCATATAAATTCCTCTATCCATTTTTGCTTTGATGATATTTATTCCATTCTTTCGAAAGTACATACGATCTGAATTGAACCTGCCCTTGAGTCCAGCTTCACAGATCTTCTTGCCGGAGAGGAGATTGACTCCTAATCCCGGTACATACAACGTCTTTGAGAGTAAAACCATACCACCATTTCCTAGCTCCATTGCAGCAGTACCTATCCGATCACAGTACATAACTCCCCCACCAACTTTTATCGTCTTTCTCTTTATCTTCTTGATATCTCTAAAGAGTGAAAGTTGATCAGACATGTGTGAGGAAGCGCCGGTATCTGCGTACCAACGAGAAGGGGTGGTCTTACGAATGAGTTCTTTAGAGACATGGCACTCTTCGTCATCAGACTCTTCTTCGCTTTCTGATGAATCGAGATCAACTAAAAGACTTTCGCCATCTGCAAGATGAGCTTGATTACTTCTTTTCTTAGGAAATGACACTTTGGTTGTCTTTCTAAGTGTTGCTTTCCGTTGCTGGGCTTTATAGTGTTTGCGGATCAGAGCTTGTGCGAGTGTGAGATCTTTGCAATCACGTAGAAAGTGCCCTTCGTGCTCACACAGGTGGCAAACATAGGTTTTGGCTTCATCGTCTTGTTCTTGCTTTGCAAATGGGCTTGATCCTCTGCGTTCTCCTCGTCGATTTGGGATTACGTACTTTCCGCTAGCAGTATGGGCTTGTTCTGTCTCTTGAATGCTGAGTTCTTTAGCTGTGAGATATTTGATCTTGTCTTCCACTGCTAGCGTGCTTTGAACGCTCATAGCATCGATTGTTGTTTGGTATTCGCTTGGTAGGCTTCTAGTCAGAACTAAAAATAGAGCTTCGTCTCTGTATGAATCCTTGAATGCGGGGTTGGCAGCACCAAGCTTGCGTCGGTATTCTTTCAGTTTATCCCAGGCTTCAATAACGGTCATCTCTGGATGGCTAGTAGGCTTGAAGGTAAATGTTTGGATCATTGTTAAGTACGAATTGGCTGTGATATCACTAGTTCTTGAGTACTTTGACTTCAGGTAGTTCCATAATGTTCGTGCTGTATCGTACTCATCAACAAGCGCTTCATCGTCGTCACTGAGTGATCTGCACATGTACGATAGTGCACTAGCTTCATCTTTCAAATATTTGGCCTTCTTATCGAGGTTAAGCCTGATGTTCACGACTTTGCTTCCTTCGAGGATCGGGAAAACTTCGGTACCATCGACTTCCATCCCAACTCCTCCAACCTTAGCATGCTCTTGCAATGTAGACTCAATCGTATAGAACCAATCCTTTCCTTTCAATTGTATTTTCATTTGTCGAAACCATCGATCGTGGGTCTCTTGGGTGAGGTTCGGGATGCTTTTCGTTTGCTCTTTGATTTCGTCCATCTTGGTATCTATGCAGAGAATTTGCAAGGTTTTTCTTCCCCTTTTTCTGTATAGATAAATCCACACAGATTGTAAATATAAGTATAATTTGCACCGCGTGTTTTCTGTCGTACCGTGTACGTTTTATTCGTAAGTAGCACCGCGTGCTCTTTCAACTCCGCGAGTTGATGGTAGTAGTGATCACAGCACCGCGTGCTGATCGTAAGGTAGTGCCGCGCACTCTTCAACTCCGCGAGTTGGATTGTGATAATGATCGCGTCAATTATGTCCAGAGGCCATGCTAACCGGGCTCATAACCTATTAAAAGATTGGGTGGAAGAGGCCTCTATATTGACTATATTACTACGTCTGTAGGCATATTAAGGTCTCCTCTTGGTATCCTCGGAGGGGACCAATATGCCTGCTTATGGTTCATCTAATCTAGCCTGTTTAGGTAACCGTATTACTAATCACGACACGTGATTAGTACCGGTAACTTCTATTCCTTTTAACAATATAATATAATATAATATAATATAATATAATATAATATAATATAATATAATATAATATAATATAATATAATATAATATAATATAATATAATATAATATAATCCAACCATTTTCCGAATAATAGTTCAGATAATATAGACTCCTCCTCATCCTCTTCCTCATCCTCTGTGTATTTATAATTATAACATTCTAGTAGGAACAGAACAGAATCCTTAGTATGGAAATAAGCAGCCGATGAAAGGAATAAGGAATGACGAAACGCTAAAATTCAATTTGTAAAACTAGTATACTGTAAGTGATAATTCTTGTAGTATCAAAGCATCAAAGTAAAAGGTCGAGGTCAGATAAAAGTTTAGAAGTGAGTTATTAACCATGCCCTCCTAAAGCCTTCATTCGCTATCGAATGATTCGCTTCCCCCCGAATTCCTGGAAACATTTCGACTATTTGAAATCAATGCTATATCCCTCTGTCTAGCTTGTTCCCTTGTTCGTTGCCTACCCGATGTCTTTGACTCAATCTCACCACCTTGTTTTTGTCGTTGATTTTCTCTATATCTTCGAACACGTTCTCTAGCCATTGCTTTTTTTCTCTCATCTTTGGCTTGTGCTAATACCTCTCTCTCAGCTTCCTGCATTCCTTGTTGTCTATCCTTCTTTCGTTGTCTACATCTGCGTTGTCTTTCTCGATCCATGTACTTTCTTCTTTCATCTCGAGCTTCCTGAGTAGTTCCTACAGGTGGGATACCCATTCCTTCCTATTTTATATTAGTATGTGCATCTATTATAGAACAGAGACAAAGATTAGATAAAAGACTTACAGGTTTTGGAGCGAGTTTTCTTCGTTTAGGAGAAACATTAGCAGAAGAATCAACTTCAAGTCCTTCATTCCCAGTAGATGATTCTAAAACATCTCGTCTTCTTTTGTTATTGGCAACTGGAGGTGTATCAATGGAAGGTGTGGATGTTTGCACTAGCTCCGCGACTCTGGGAAGTATTGGTCGTTTCCTGTTACTGCGACTGGTCTGGGGTACTTCAACTGGATCCTCATCGCGAACCGATAATTCTGCCACTTCTGCCATTAAAACTCCCTCTGAGCCGATAATTTCTTCCTGTGAGGGATAGGATTGTGTTTCTTCGTATAAAACTGTCTTCGCCGGTCTGCTCTTTCCCCTTGGGTTATGACTGCTTGGGTGGATATGAACCGGAAGTTCATTCTTTACCACTGGCTCCGCAAGTTCTGAAATGTTCTCTCCAACCACCTCGTCAAGTTCCTCGTTTCCTGCAGAAGAAGACGCTTCATCGTGTAACGCTGTTTTCTCATCCTTCACAACTTTGCCTCTTGCCCTTGTTTTGCGGATATTTTCGACTGGAACTTCATTATGCGCCAATGGCTCTACTTTCTCCGCAGGATCTCTCTTCTTACTACGACTTTGTCTTGGAGGTAGAATTGAGAATGATTCATCAGTTGGTGATTTCGTTGTCGTCTTTAAGGCGTTCTCTAAATCATCATCGCCCGTATTGCTTGCCGTGACATCCTCCTGTACATCATCCTGTGCTTCAATCTTTGGAACAGGTTTAACTGCCTCCTCGAGCTTCTCTCTTATGTTGCTGAGCTTCTCCAGGGGTGCGTCAAGGATAGATTCATCCTGCGTCGAAGATAATTCTGCTTCCGCGAGCTGTTCTCCCAATTTATTGATGCTGCCGTGACGAGTTGGTGTATCGGAAAGGGAGTCTGTTTCTCGCAGGGATGAAGATTCTGCTAAATTCTCATTCTGCTGAGAAGGTCTCGGACTTTGTAGTTTTCCAATGGTATTCGAAATGAATTTCCACACTCTAGAAGACATAATTTCGAATCTATAATGTGGTTGAATGTTAATTCATAAAAATTGGGAAGAAAGTGGTTTTTAGACTGTGGATGGATGATGGTGAAATAAATTTTGTCACAGTGACTAGTTTAGTGTGGCCACAACGATACTCGAGGAAAAATAGTGGATGTCATAGTTTATCCTTATCGCATTCCACCAATGTCGTTATCCCAATCCGAGTCACTAAGGACCCAACTACCCCAGTATTGTATCACTAACGATGCAAGCATTTCTTTTGTCATGTTGGCAACTTGCAAGTGGCATGTGGATCCAGTTTGAATGCGGTGGTCATTGATGAACACCGTAACCATTCCCTAATTCGTTATGAACTTTTCCTTAAGCCGTTTTGGTAATGGTAGTGATGACAACGAAACATGACAACGTTACATCTCCTGCAAATCTGAGAGTCATGAACCAGTACATTGATGAGGGAAATGTTAACGTTTTTTGATGCTTTTCTTGGAGTTTCATTCAACATTCCACAAAGTGTGCAATAGGTGGGGGTTTCGTTTTTAAAGCGGATGCATGGGATGACTTTCTCATTTAGCTGTCACTGATTCCTGTACAATGACCTACATTGTAAGTATGATGATCTAGATGCGGGATCTTCAAGAATTGATTTTAACTTAGCTGGAATGAAAAGACATCAGAGCATCGGGTAAAAGGACGTTACATGTCTGATGTAGGGAGGCTATAAGGTTATATATTGTACAGCGAATTTTGTAGATATAAAATCATCATTGACATTTATCTTAATAAGTATATTTGAATGAAAGACAATATCTAACAGTTCATTCCTATCAAAAGTTAAATATTTGTGACGCAATCTATGCGTAGATATATATTCCGAAAGACATCATCATATCAAGATGTGACGATCAAAATACCAATCTTCTCAGAGTATCCTCTCAAATCCACAAGAGACGAAAAGACTATCATAAACTGGAACACTTGTACGCCATAGCAGTCACTTGAACCCCTTGCATATCAATCCAACGTCGTATATGCTACGCGCACTCCACCCTCATACACGAATTGTAGGCCTATCTCCCTAAAGAATCCAACTTCAGCTCCATGTTCACCATTTCGTTCCAGCGATTTACGTTCTCCTGAATGATAACCAAACATACCGCTGCAATTATCACATATTCGAGCATCCGGACCATCATCAAAACCCCAGCTTTCTTCCATGATGACTCCCCCACCGTTGACTAGATCATTTCCATAGATTTCCTCCAGATCTTCGTCATCAAGGTCTTGATCGTGATTTAGTTCAAATTGAATGCCATTGAGCTCGACAGCTTTTATCAGGTCTGGTTCAACACACTAATCCTCCTTGCTCCCTCACTTCTAAAAGGTGCTCCCAATGCAGAATGAAAATACACTTTATCTCCCTCATATCCGGTGAATGTTTTGGAGAGTACTTTCACAATATGCTTCCCTAGATTTTCCCCATCAACGTGTTCTGCCTGTGCTTTGAATGCTTGTCCAAGGTAGATTTTCAAGTCTTCTCCAAGCTCTGATACATATACTGGTTCCAGATAACGGCCTCCAAGGGTGCTTGTGAAGCGATGTCCGAGTTTATAACCACTTAATCCGCCATCCCTCACAAGATATGACAAACATTCAAAGGCTAATGCACCGTTACTATCCTTTGGTAAACCCCGGATATATAGTTCATCAAGAATTTGGCCCAAATTCTCTCTTGCAATTTTGCGCAGACCGATACCAGGACCAGGTAGGTTCGTTGTGAAATTGGCGAGGTCAATAACCATGGACCTTGAATTCTCGAAGGCCGTTTTCTCCTGCATCAGCGTAGGCTTTCCAGGCAACTGGAGAGCTTGAAGGAATTCAGCAATTTGGCGCCAGCAGTAGCTTTGCAGACCTGTCCAGCTTAAATTGACACTTGGACAACGCTTTATAATATCCATGTTGAGCTTCGAGTTCAAATACCGACCTAGGGCGTCAGGAGAATTTACACTGTCTCTATCATTGTAGTATTTGCCAACAATGCGTAATTCCAAATGCTCCGACTCTGCGCAGATTTCTGGTTGTGTCTTTACAAACCACTTCAAGGAGCAGACCTGAGTGAAAATGAATTCCTTGTTGCGTAACATTAGTTTTTTTCCTTCATCGTTGAAGAACTTCGATACCCGCAGAAACTGAACGGGAAAGTTCTGTTACTCGTTATGCTCTGACTCGGTGACATTAGACTCAAGGATTTTAACTCCTGGGTCGATTATTGGGTAGGCTAATTGAAAGGCATATTTGAGCATGCGAAGTTGTAGTTCATTTGGCAAGTTTCCACTCGAACGAGCAGGTAGAATTGAGGATGGAAAGATTGTGCCGGAGCCAGGCCCCGCAAGCCATGAAATTCCATGAGCTTTGAGGAGTCCTTTCAGATCAGGATTTTCTTTTGCAAGAGCCTCATTTTGCTTTCCAAGCTCCTTGTTCTGTTGACTGAGCTTGATAGTTGCTTTGTCTAATGGTCGATGATAACTGACGACTTCTGGGTCATCGTCTGCTGGCCCGTCCCACATAACCTATACATTTGTGAGTATTCTGATCGAGCTTACACTGAAGCATTACCTACCCCAACACTATGAAGGATATTTGCTACAAGAACCATTGTACCGCACTGCTAGGTTTGATATGATACCGAATCTACTTGATTTGTTTGGAAAATTTTAGTGGTTATGCGCGTCAAAGATATGATTGTGATGTGACTTTGGGAGATTTCAAAAATGTTGTTTTAGTAGGAGAAGAGGCTGAGTGTTAGTGATAAATGAAGCCTTTAAAGAAGGTAAACAGAATCAGAGGCTGCTATAGTATATAGTGCCATACCTGCTGTATAGTAAATACTAAAAACTTTATTACAACCTTCACTACCGTACCCTGTGATGTCCTCTGTCATCTTGTTATCATAGAACCTGCTGGAGCGAACAACCATGAACCAGTTATCTCTCCTAGTTGTTATTGTGGTCTGATTCCGACTTATCCTTCTATTCAACAAATTTCTAATAACTATCTGGAAAGATCATTATTTGTGTGACCTTATACACAATGGTCTCTCAGCGACCAGAAATCCGAACGGACTTTTGAACGACCTAGAGATTGCACTTATCATTATCTTAAGGATCCTCACCATTAACCGTACTAGAGATAAACTGCCTCCACTAGCAATAACAGTTCAGGATTATCGCATGATTGTTCACTTAGGAAATCTTGGCCACACCTCCCACAAGTTTCTACTGTGAGAATCTGCACAGTGAGGCAGCGGAGCGGGGCACCAACATAATCAGGGGAGCTTAAAATAACAGGAAGCTCGAAAATAATAGAAAAGAAGAAGAGAGCCAAGGGAATTTTGACTGGCTATGCATCCATTCTCCTCTTTGCTCAACTTCTACCAGGACAACCTAAATCCCGTGAAATAGACAAACGCAGAACAGACAAGCGGGTAGTATGCCAAGTAGCAAGGAGTAAAATATATAGTCAAACCAAACCCGAAATAAAGAAAAGCAGCCAAAATGTGCAAATATGAAGTTCCATGAAGAATACAGACATTGCGCCACTCGACCAATTGAAGGAGGTAACTAGAAAATGTTTCGCTCCTGAATCAAGCCTATGCAGATAAAGAGACCTTATGATTCAATGAATAAGCAGTGAACTTTCAACGTCTCCGATACATGTGAAGGTGTCGCCCAATATGCCAGTCATTCGCCCTGACCTCCGAATCTTCCAATTCTCACTGGGGCTTTAACCTTACTTCGGGATTTTCCGATCAATTTCTATATTGAACAACGGGATTTAATCGTTGACGCAAGCATGTTAAGCTAGGAGTTATTATAATGAACGATGGTAGAAGATAGCAAGCCTCACAGTACCCAGCATTCTGGAAATCCCATCAGTTCTCGAAGAAAATGGGGGTTTGAGGTTTGGAAGCCGCCGATAGTGTTTGAACTCAGGAGCGGCGTCGATTATTCCATCGCATTGGCTGAAGAATGAGTTGTGATATAAACCCAGGAGTATGGAAATTAGGAAATTAGGAAATGAGAAGATCATGACACTAATATATTATAGAAGTTTGATATTCCAAGACAAAACTGTTTGAAGTATTGAGGTGATAGTCGGGGAAAGTATAGAATTGTGTACCTACTCGTATGCATGGCAAAATTCTTCACCGCCCACGGCAAATCGTGACTCTCCTCTGACTAATGGATGACTTATGATAATGAAAGTTGAGGCAGTCACGCTCTTCAATCAGATGAAGTTGCTTCACTCGCTCTTTCCTTGATATCAGAAATGTAATCTCTTTAAATATGAGGAGAAGTTCTCTCTCAAAACTAACTCTCAACCATTCGAGTATCTTCCGTCTATTATTCGCTGATGTGATTATCTTACTCACTCACAAATTTCAATTATTGTCAGCTTTGCATGCCTAGAGGTAAGATCATATGTGCTTCAAATTTCAAAGGATGTAGAATTGACATTTAGCTAGGTTATTACATCGTTTACCTGCTCTGAATCAATTCCACGATATTTCTCTTCCTCCGTTATTCCACCCCATGAAACCCTTTACTCCATAGGAATACATTATGGCAACCCATCAGTTCACACGGTTCCCAAACCTCTCAGCTGAGATTAGAATTATGATCTGGAGGAAAAGCATAGAGCCCCGCTTAGTAGAGGTCTGGCCCAAAGGTGGAAAATACGATGGATTTTGTTCGAGTACTCCTCTTCCAGGAGCGATGACAGCATGTCGAGAATCTCGAGCAACTGTTATACGTTTTTACTCTCTCGTATTTGGCGGAACATTTATTCAGGCTAGAATTCGGTTCAACTTCGCCCTCGATACGCTATACATTGACTGGAAAATACAAGAACGTCTTGCTAGTTTTGTGTTATCAATTAGCGAATATGAAGCTGGAAGAATTCGATCCATTTTTATCGACGGAGAGATTCGGTATGCACGCTATTGCAACGGACTAGAAGTCGACATGGGTATGCTTCGGCGTAACCCTGCTATGCGTCATGGAATCTCGACCGATTACAACAGTGAGAAAGTTGGAGATGATGAATTTCAGTTACTTTCTTCGGCATTGTCTTCAATGCCAATGCTAGTAAAGTTATACGTCGTATATACGGTAAAACCGGAGGGTGACGAAGCTCCTTTGGATAACCATGATGAGTTTAGCCAGTTGATAATCTTCAAATACGACGAGCTGCTTGATTCTTTTCCAGCACCATCAAATGCTGAGGATGATTATCGGGTTAGCTTAAATGATGAGATTGAACCAATTTCTTTTGATTGGTTATTGAATAATATAAGCGTGAGGTTTAATCAGTATCAAATTCGTCACCTGGACATTCGATACGCATGGAGGTTTCCCACATTCTTTACAACCCCACCTTCTGGTTTTAGCTCCCCTGGCTTTCAGGAGCGTATAGCTTGGTGGAGGGAACACCGGGATTCAGGATATTTTTTATTGGAAGAAGAATAAGGTCGTCTTTAGCGTCATATAGGGACAGGAACATGGATATGTTTTAATGTTGAGCTAGCTTAGATATACATGCATTCGCACATGAAGAGGAAGCGAATTGTATCTTGCTAACAATTTCCGGACTCAACGGAGTAATTTGTCCTGCTTAGAGACTCACTAGCAGCCATACTTTTCAAAGTCGGTTCTTCACCCCTTCTCTTCCCGAGTGTTGGCTGCAGGAATGGCCATGGGGGATTGATTTCATGGAGTAAGGAGATATGAAAGCTGAAGTAGATGACGGAAGAAAGAACTTTAATCATCATGCCATTTTATTATGCTTTTCATACTGTGAAATGAAAACTTTCTCAAATTTCCAATGCTGTATATAAAATAACTCTCCATTTTTCCATACATGCATTTTTGAAGACGCGAGTGGGAATTTCCAGGCCCAGGTATTGCGTAACTTTAAGTATTGATGTATCCACGTAGAGGGATTTTCCTTGGGAATGATATTAAATGAAATTCACGGCGGAACGTCCAGATTGAATGTTCAACTCTTCAAGATTTCCTCAAAAGCAGAACGACATAGAATGATGAGAATGGAAGGGAAAAAATTGATGCGATAGAAAAGGACTATATAAGAGATGCGCTACGTTAAGACGTGCCAGATAATTTGACTGACATCCCTTCGGTAAGCATAGGTAACTATTCCAGCAGCGTGTAGTATCTAGCGCTTCTCATGCAAGTCAAATGAGTCCCATGATTCCCACTTGGGCAACAAATAAAGTAGCTAGACTCAGTACAACGAAACACGATGATTCGGAGAGAGAAAATGATCGGAGGCTGTACGCTAATGAAGTTGTGTAAGAAGAGTATTTCTACGGCCCGCAGACCTCTTCAGTCATACTTTTTGTAAAGGATGGTCGTGAATAATTCAATTAGCATTTTGTCGATGCTAATAGCTGAAGTTCTAAATTCAACCGATATAGTCGACTTGAATTTCTCCCACGGAGACTTAACCCGTTTCGGCATGGTGAGTACAGATTCCTCCGATCACTTGAATGACAGGCTGTTTCAGAAGAATACTCTGATATTGTTGGAATGTATTTTGATACAGGAAGTTTCCAAAAAAAAAGTTGTAAACATGCTTATATCAACGACTCCCACTCAAAGGGAGACAAATCAATGATTGACCGAGTCTCTTCACAAAGCTGTTATGCATCGAAAAGACGTTATTCTCCATTGTGCCTATCCTTGTATGTATAACCATGCAAATCGGAAGTTATGTCTGAGGTGATTGCGATCTACATTGAGAGGCAAAACACGTCAGGAACTATTCATAGAACAAATGAAATGAGGGCAAATTTTGGAAGAACATAGCTCGTCATGTTCTTTGTTGCAAATGGAACCTCCTTTTCTCTTCGCTTCTCCTCCCACTCTATCGAATAGATATTTTTGGATATTATGATGCCACTATCATGAAGCTTCATCCAAAGAGTTTGGAACGAATCCCACTTTTTGTTTGTTGTTGGACCAATTGAGGAAACACCAAATTCGATAATGGGTGCTTTGAAGCGACACTAAGAGATGTTTAGGAGGCTAAAGGTAAGACATTTGGTTGAATGTGGATTAGTGGTTATCAAAGTTGTGATGGATCATCACGTGTAGATACCAGACCCAAGCAATCTTGCACAGGCAGTGGAGTATTTGGTTACATTTGGGGGAGTGCACAGAGCACAGAGCATAAATGAGGAAGTTTGATGAGATGCAATTCGCGGAGGCGATGGTTAAGTAATTGTGGTGATGAGAGGAGAGGAGGAGGAGGAGGAGGAGGAGGAGGAGAGGATGGGGAGGGGAGGAGATGGGGAAAGGAGGAGGAAAGAGAAGAAAATGGAGTGGAGGAAGTATAGAATCAATACCTGTTAAGACATCAAGATGAAATAGGAGTTCCAAATCAATACACCACATAAAGTACTTGTCATTCACTCATTGTTACTTCTGCAGGTAATAATTGACTGGTACAGATTCAAGCGACCATATCCTATTTGATGAAGCAATCCATCCATCTTTCCATTCTCCAAAGTTCATTGGAGGATCACCAAATCTGATACATAGCTGCTTACACCATTCGACATTTGATACTTCAACCGATCACAAATGATGAGGTGGGTTGAGGTAGGGTAAGTAAGTACTGCTGTTGTATACATAGAGTATGTAGGGAGGAGGTGCCTATTATAGATCTGAGATGTTCAACAAAATTGATAGAATCTTTGTAAGACTATTTCATTTATTTTATCCCATCTATAAGTAAGATTGTATAGCTCTTCATAGAATTAGATACTGCACACGGACTATTGAGGTAGCTAGAGGTTGGGTAGGAATGTTGTAGATAAGAGTTGTCTCTTATATCTGAGGGTCTCGAGTATGTACTCGTGATGGTTTATATCTTCATTTTATTCTATGCACTAGGTAGGGAGTGGGAGTATTCACTGCCACTGCCACTGCCACCCTCACTCTCGTTCAATCACTCATTTGGACTATACTCTGTAAATCAGGACCCGTAGATAATCTACTGAATCACAAATCATACAAATTTTATGTATAGTCTTATAATCTCAATCTCATACTTTATTTCTTCATAATTTCCCAAAATCACACTCATCTTCATATTCACATTATTAAATGACCTCTTGCTCCAATCCTGGTTAATTTTAAAAGCGTGCCCCAACCCAATCCAACAAGCTAGGGGCCCTACCCTTCCTTTCCTAACTGACCCCTTCCCCAGCGTCCGCCCGGCCCAAACAATTATTAACCCCTTTTGCCAGTGGGAACACAGACAAGCAACCAAAGGGAAAACAAATCAGCCAATTGCTGCCAGCAACAACGCCAAACCGCAAAGAAGAGAAAAGGCAAAAGGCTCAATCAAAAGATCGGTGCAACATTGACAGACAACCTTTCACCTACAACACAACACAACACAACCTTTTTTTTTCTCACGTCTTTCTGCCCTTCATTCTACTTGGTACATCAACAACATTCACTACAATCGTTTAGAATCTTTTACTTTTCCATCTTCTTCTCAAATCATTCGACTTTTATTTGCCATCGTACCTTCCATCGACAACCAAGTAAACCACTTGGTACATTTTATCTACACAAATCTTAATCCGCATTAAAGACCACGCGAACCAATACTTGTTGAGGATTCAAAGACTTTAATATCTGGTACGTGCTATTATTCGTATTCCTGCATGAAAATGGGAACATCACTCCATCGAATCAATTCTCGATCTCTCAGAATACCTTCAAATTTATATTTCTGAAGCTACTCATTCATTGATTTCAATCTTGGGAATTTCCACTACCTCGACTGTGACTATCTTTCTGTTCACATAGGCTAATTTGTCTCTGTCTTTTGGTGCCAACAGGATTTCGAACCTCCCACCTTCTTTCTTCACAAAAACAATCACCTTCGATCCTTCTACATCAATCATAACAATGGGTAAGCAATTCATTTCATTTTGGCCGAAGTCAATACTTGGGAAGAGGAAATGGAATCATCAAAATATCAAAGACGGCATCAACAATTGGTGGAACCTCAATTCTTCGATTTCACTCTGTGCCATCCACCATACCGACAATCATTCTCGACACACCATTGTTGCAACTACGAAGCTTCAAATCTCGAGTCTGTTGGACTCGCACATTTCGAAATCCACTCCAACAAGCTGGGAAGTCATCAACAATCTGCCACATGATGTTACATCATCCTGATCCGCCAGTCATGAAGTCACATTCAAATGGTCACTGGAATCTCCTCATCCCTAAGAAGTCTTCCGCTCTGTCTTCCGGACAACAACCTGGAGATAAGGATTCATCTGTCGTAAGATCTGAGAGCATTTCCAAAGGCGTCTCAATACCCAAGCAATCATTGGAGAGTATCGAACAGCGTCAATATCCTGGAAGCTTGCATCGTCATCAGCGAGGAGCAGAACGCATACGCGCTCAATTTAGAAGCATGCTGGATGTTGAAGAAGCTCCAAGTTTGGAGCAAATATCTACGGATCACCATGAATCGATGGAGCTATGGGTTGCCGATAAACTGCAGCAGGCTTCTAAGAATTATAGCACTACTTCACATGACTGGGCTGACATTTTACCTCTCTACACAGCTACCAACGGTGCCCCAATGGCGCCTACCCGAGCATCTCCAATTCCTAATGGAGCTCCATCGTCCCCACTAGAAATTCCAATGACCATCAGCTCAACAGATCCAAAGATTGCAGCTCAACAAGCAAGCGATATGAAAAATATTGTCCGAAGAAAGTTGACTGGGTATGTTGGATTTGCAAATCTACCTAATCAATGGCACCGAAAGAGTGTCAGAAAGGGATTCAACTTTAATGTCATGGTTGTTGGTATGTGAAGCTTCTAAATGTATATTCCGTCCATGCTAACTTTTGATAGGTGAATCTGGACTCGGAAAGTCGACTCTGGTCAACACTCTTTTCAACACTTCCTTATACCCACCAAGAGAACGTAAAGGACCTTCCCTCGATATTATCCCAAAAACCGTTTCTATTCAATCAATCAGCGCCGATATCGAGGAGAATGGTGTTCGTTTACGTTTGACTGTTGTTGATACCCCAGGTTTCGGTGATTTCGTTAACAATGATGAATCTTGGCGACCCATCGTTGATAATATTGAACAACGCTTCGACGCCTATTTGGATGCTGAGAACAAGGTCAATCGAGTGAACATTGTTGATAACCGTGTTCATGCTTGTGTTTACTTCATTCAACCAACTGGTCATGCATTGAAGCCTTTGGACATTGAGGTTATGCGTAGACTTCATACCAAAGTCAACTTGATTCCAGTCATTGCTAAGGCTGATACTTTGACCGATGAAGAAATCACCGCTTTCAAGTTTAGAGTGAGGATCTCACTTGCATATTTTTAAATCCTACGCTAACCATGTTCCAGATTCTCGCTGATATCAAGCACCACGATATTCAAATCTTCGAGGGTCCACATTACGAGAAGGACGATGAGGAGACGATTGCCGAGAACAAGGAGATCATGGACAAAGTACCTTTCGCAGTTGTTGGTGCCAATTCCGAAATTACAAACAACGAGGGACGTAAAGTTCGAGGACGTAAATACCCATGGGGAGTCATTGAAGTTGACAATGAAGAGCATTGTGATTTCGTCAAGCTCAGACAAATGCTCATCCGAACTCACATGGAGGAGCTCAAGGAACACACCAACAACGCTTTGTACGAAAACTACAGATCGGAGAAGCTTACTGCTATGGGTGTGACTCAAGATCCAAATGTTTTCAAGGAGGTCAACCCAGCCGTCAAGCAAGAGGAAGAACGCCAATTGCACGAGCAAAAACTTGCCAAGATGGAGGCCGAGATGAAGATGGTTTTCCAACAAAAGGTCGCGGAGAAGGAGAGCAAGTTGAAGCAGAGCGAAGAAGAGTTGTACGCACGACATCGCGAGATGAAGGAACAACTCGAGCGTCAACGTCAAGAACTGGAGGAGAAGAAATCCAGAGTCGAGAGTGGAAGACCAATAGAAAAGGAAGGCAAGAGGAAGGGTTTCTCACTCCGTTAAGGGGTGACTTTTCAAAAATCAGGGCCTGCCTTTTTATGATGGTACCAACACGACACAATCGATACTTTACTTTTCAATTCATGTCTCTTTAATCATTGATCCTTAATATCTGGCAGTGGAAGAAGCGAGCGATGGGGTGGAGGGTGATATTCAGGCGCGGCATGCTTCTGCGAGGCAAGGTCGTAAATGCTATAATGGGGTTTGTCTTGCATTCAAGAATGAGTGGTATTTCGAGGAGTTTTATTTTTGCACATGAGAATGAAAGAAAAGGGGAAGAGGAAGAAATGCAACAAGACGAAAGACCATGATGCTTACAGAAAAGATTGGCTTTTTGCAAAGTTTTATTTTCCTATGGCTTCGACCAAAATATTCACCTCCAAACTTTCCTCAAATGGATCAATACTCTGTATTTATTATGATAGCTCGAGACACTTAGTTCATTTTTTTCTCCTTTCTAATCTTTTTTTTTTTTCTTTTTGATTTTCTTTTGATTGTTTCGCGTGTGGTTTTCCCTTTTTTGTTTTTTTGGCCTTTTAACTTTTAACTGAGGTTTTGAGAATGGATGGATGGATGGATGGGGAGGCAGGGGGAGGGAGGGAGAGGTATGGTGGAATAAATAAATAAATAAATAAGTAAATGATCACTCTCAATTATAAAGGAATGAAAGGAAAAGAAAAGAAAAGTATGTAATCGAATAAATAGTGGTTTATTTATTGTAGTTATCTGTGATTATCTACTTTGATTGTATATGTATATTTGTATGTTTGTAACTTTTTGGGTGGGTTTGGTTTGGTTGGTAGGCGGGGATTGGTAGGGAAGGATGGGGAGTAGTGGGAGGGGATGAAGGGTAAGGATTGATAAGGGGGGGGGAAGGTAGGAGAGGTAGGAGAGGTAGGAGAGGTAGGAGAGGTAGGAGAGGTAGGAGAGGTAGGAGAGGTAGGAGAGGTAGGAGAGGTAGGAGAGGTAGGAGAGGTGGTTGCTGGGTTCTTTTTAGGAGGTTAGGAGGTTAGGAGGTTAGGAGGTTAGGAGGTTATGGGGTTATGAGCTTATTTTGATGGTGGATGTGGAGTTTGGAGTGTGAAGTTTCGGGTATGAAGTATATATAAAATAAAACTAAGGAGTTGAGATAATTGTGATTATAACCTCATAAGCGAGTATTCAGAAAATGGAAAAGGGTAGTAGTGGTATACAGATTCCTGGGTAGAGTGGAAAGGTCTTTGGAGTTGGAGATATCTGATATATTTAGATGGATTGAGGAATTTAAGTATGGAGGAGAGAAAGGGGAAGGGGAAGGGAAAGGGAAAAGGAAGGGGTGGAGGAGGGGGAGGGGTGGTTTAATCTTTGATATGTAGGGAGTTTAATATATAATTTATATTTCGGTTATTTATATTGGTGGTTGA